AGACCTCTTAGTCCCAAGCATTGAGCAGCCAAGCCCATTTCGAGGATGGAATCTTCTGTGTTGACGGCAATAGCAGAAAACATGGTTGAGGTGTTGCAGCAAGGCTGCAGATGGGGCTCCGGAAAACAAGGGCCTCCTCCAAAAGTGTAGCAAGCGCATGTCTTCGCCCGATGAGGTTTAAGCTCCTTAAAGGGGGTTGTATGGGGGATTATACAGGGGAGCATTAAAGGGTTCCTGAAGGAAGATACTAGGAATTTAGACAATGGCTCAGATAGGGCATACCTGACCGACCGGTCACGAACATGTGAGGCCGAGCCGAAGGTCGAGTTGCCGAAGCCCGCACCTTTCAACCTCTGCCATCCTTTGGGAAATGACCCTGCTTAGATGGTAGTTTCCCAAAATATGGGACCCAATATAGACCCTAAAATGCTATAGTCCTTTTATTGGCACCCCCCAAAAAGGTACCCCCCCAATTCTGGGAAACCCTCAGATGGCTTCAAGTGCCGAGGCTGCGGGTTTGCAACGCCTTCCCGTCAAACGAGCCGCTGTCAGTGGCCTGGAAAGACAATGTGCTGACGGGAGACGAGCCGGGATGCCTGGTGGTTGAAAGCTGTCAGCTTTTCAGTGAATGGCGACAAGGACCCGTTAGAGATCAGGATGGCCGCATGTGACCTTGTTAAAGTAGATGGTACTTGCAAGCAACTCCTGCAAGCAGTTGTAGCTTTCCTTGCCTGCTACTTTGCCAACTGTTGCTATGTAAGTCTATGCAGAGCTTGGTGCGATCAAATCCCGTTAGAGAAGCATTTCACCGCATCCATCTTGGCAAACCGCCCGTGGAGCTGCATCCATGAAGTATTGTGTCTCTTTCTCTTTCAGCAGAACATGCCCTCTTTGTTCTATTAAGACCTGTATGACCAGCTCGCATCATCAAGGCCTTTGTCGTACAAGGGCTGCAGGGACCTGGAGTTGTCGAGCGACATGAAGGCCCTTCCTTGCGGGAACAGGGGTATCGTGCAAACGTTGATGTTGGACATCCTCACGCGTTGTTTGGGCTGACTCATCCAGCTGGCACCCGACTTGTGTGGTCTTTCGGTGAATGTTCTCGCCATGATGGACCTTCAGCAGCTTAGACAGTGTTTGGCAGAGGATGATCCTGTGTATATTGCAGCCAATCAGCTTCGTGGGGAGCACTATCAAAGTTGCAATACAATCAACGCAAACGGGTACAGCAACGCTCTGAGGAGTCTTGAGTAACTGCTGCAAACTCTGCTGGCTTTCCTTCTGCAAGTGGTAGTCTGCATACAAGGCAGGGGAGAAGCTGCACGTTGGAGTGCGGGACGGCCCAAGCAACACCTTCCAGCTCACGGCTTCTTGACCAGTTTTGCGCAATTGTTGCTTGCCCCAGAAAAACTGCCGAACGCTTGTCTGAGGAGCTTCCCAAGGACTCAAAGCTCTTGCTGCTCGTGGCAATTCGTGGGAACCTCAGAGCTGTGAGTCCAAACGAGAACGCGAGGGTGTCCTCCCAGGTCGTGGAAGGAGCCTGCTAGACCTCACCTTCCGCTCCCACTCTTTCGAGCCCGCTCCCAACAAAACTGCCTCCATCGCCTGGGTCTGAGAAAGAGCCCTGCGCTCTACAAGCTAGCCCTAAATGTGCTTTATACTTTGGATCGTATCACATTATCTGCTTGCACAGTCAGCAGCAGCCTTTGAGCCGCAAAGCATGCTGCACTTCTCGCGTATCAAGTTGCAGTCAGATCTCAGGCCGTGCTGGACACCTACGATGCAAGACTTGGCATGCTTTTGAACAGTGATTATGCCATGCAAGATTTTGCAGGCATCAGTCTTGGCGTGTGCGCTGTGATTCCTGCCATTGTTTTCATACTTTTCCTGTCTGCAAAGCTGCAATCAGCTGTCCTAAAGCTGCACTCATGCTTGTGGTCACCACCAAGACGGTCCCGTGATTGTGTGGTTGCAGGATGGTGCAGGCTGCATAGGCATGGCATGCAGGCTGGAGCTTGAGTTTGCTTGCCAGGGCTCCGAAAAGTCGCAAGTGCGAATTGGCCGCGACATGGAGGTTAACACGGGTCAGAGTCTTACGCGAAGTCTCACGAACTAGTTTCTTTGTAACAGGATGCAGCAGGCACTTGTGAATCAGTGTGCATCCAACCTCAGGAGTTCACAAGTGCTCTCCTTGTTTCTACCCAGATGCTCCAATGGTCTTTAAGAGGGGGATCCCAGCAAAGGATCCCTTCCCAGCTGCAGGTTAACTTAGTTGCCAAACTAATATGTGGTTTCTTGATTCCCTTCAAGCCCTAAGCCCTCAACCCATCGAAGGGGTGTCAAAAAACCATCTACCTCAAGACTCCTGTGTTTCGGGTACTTTCCTCTGTCTCGTGCGGAAAAAATTAGCAACAAAAAACCAAAAAAACATGACCAGCTGGAGCCTTGGGAATGAAGCTGGTGTGTTGCAGCTTCTTGCTGAAGACTTTGTGCTCTCCACGAGATACGTCTGTCAGTTCACTTCTGATGAAAGCGAAGCTACCAGATTCGTGGGCGCCATGCTTGTGCAATTTGTTGCCAGGACTAATGTTTCTGGAGCAGTCACGCAGAAGGAAGCTAATAGCTCAGGTGGTGGTGAGCGATTGTGGTATGATTCGGTGGTGTCTGCCACGGGCTCACGTGTCATCAGAAGGCTGTTCAAGCACCCTGCCGTCAGCCAGCCTCCAGGATTACATGAAAAGCTAAGGGGGTCTTAGTGAGATTTTCTGCTAGCTATAGATTTTAAGTCCAAAAGAGGCCCTAGAACCCTAAAACAGTAGTCATGAATTCAGCTGTGCTGCGTAGAGGTTAACCCTGGCAACTACCGCCTCTGGCTGCGTAGCGACGACAAGACGAAGGACCCCGCGCCAGATACCGCACTGTTGATCATAGCCAAGCAATCCATCCATGAAGCCTTTTTGAAGAGAGAGGAAGGTGATTCTGATTGGTCTCTTCTTTAGTGACGCTGCAAGTGTCACAGAGGCAGATGCATGCAGCTCCCCTCTTGTTGGCTTTGAGCCAGGACGACTTAACGTTCTCTGCAAACACTAAGTCCACATATGTTGCAGGGCACTCAGGTAGCAGCTCAAGTAATCACAAGCTTTGCGCTGGACTGGCACTGCTGCGCCTTCAGGAAGCTGTGCTAAACTGGCATCTGCTTCCCCTCGGCAGGTCATGCGGGTTGGAGGTGAAGCTCACGAGTCCTCGGGCGGCCAGGAGTTTAAACAGGCGAGTTTTGTTTTTGGTGTGCGCAACAGTTTGATAGTTCGTCACCAGCAACATCTGCGTCTTCTGCAGAGGAACTGGTCATTTTTCCGAAAAGTGAGACAACCGATGAGACAGAGAGGGACCACATGAGGGATGGCTTCACACACCACAGGCCGGGGATGGTATGCAGGCCTATTTAGTTTTTTCCGGCTCAATGCCACACAGTGCAGTCTCTTCCGGTCCTCCAGGAGTGATGCGCGGGCGGCTGGAGCGCTTGACCCAGGGCTTTTCTTGCAGTTGATGCGCAGCTTGGGTGGAGATGCCTATCCTCCATGCAGTCTCTCAGGTGAGCTGTCTCCTACTGCTGATGGCCCTCTTCCAATGACATGTTTGCGCGGGAATGAAAGGCTGTTAGCCAGAGGTTGGTGCTGACCCAGACGCTCTTGAGATGAACAGAGCGTTGCTAGTTCGGGCCACGGTCGTAAGGGCTGAAGGCCAGATGTAGCCTGTGGCCATTTTTCCGCTGCCTTCCAGCATCAAGTAGTTTCTAGGTATGGCAACTTCATGAAGTATATGTAGGAGAAGAAGCTTTTGTGTGACCCAGTGACTACAATAGCTATGACTGTACGAATTAGCCTTTCATAGGTGGAACTTCCAGTCTTCGCTCAGCCGGTCATCTCTTGCCCAGTCCTAGCACGGCCACGATGTGGCGTGGTGTCGGGGATATGGCCCCACATTGTCTTGCCTAGCTCACTCAGCGCATCTGTTATTCTAGAAGGGCACTGGCCAAGTAGCACTGCATGTGCTCGGTGCGGGCTGCTCTGCCTGTACGGCTCTTGTCTCCTGGCTGCAGATTGGCATCTCCAGCTTGACCACCAGTCCTTCCATGGCGCTTACTGCGACAAAAAAAGCATCTTTGACACGGACAGTGCTGTTGATCCAAATTATGTCACATTTATACTTGAATAGAGGTATAGCTGTATGGCAGGCTTCAAGATAGGAAGAGCTGTGTTCTGCCGGCTGAAGGGTTTCTGCCACCGGGGAACAGGTCGCAGCTCTTCTTGGCCTCGCTGCTGCGAACCGCAGCCAGTGCCGAGCTTGGCCTCATGTGATCTCACATCATGATATAGGGGCTTTCCCAAGATTATGGGTGCATTTTTGGGGGCCCTCAGAATAGGGACTATAGTATATTGCGTTTAGATTGGGGTCCCCCTATTTAGGGAAACTTCCATATCTTGCCTATGGACATCTCGCAAGGCTCTGAGAACTTGCGCAGTCCTCATGGCCGATTATTGCAGCAGGCACAAGGGAGATAGTGTGGGCATGATGTCATGAACAGTCTGCCATCATGCACTACCCAAAGTCCCCAAATACTTCCAGTTCAGAATGTGCACAGTCTGGAGAATCCAGTAAATACTTTCCAGAGTACTTCCCAGAAGTATGACCTAGCAGGCCAAGTAGCCTTCCGACATTGGAAAGCACGGAAACCCGGAGCACGTCGTCCAGCACACACCTCTGTTTCGTTGGAAGGAAGACAATACCAGCACGACCCAGCCAGGGCCCCGGGGCAAGGCTTAGGGGTTTGCATTCTTCAATGCATTTCGATGCTTTCAGGCAGATAGGGCCTGTGATCTGCGCGGCGAAGCCGGCGGTGAGTTTTGCAGACCAGCTCCTCCGGCAGAAAGATACCATCGTAGAAACGTTTACGGAGGTTTTCGAGGTCTGTACAAGCACCGTAATTACCGAGGAAACCCATGTGCCAGCCATGCGCCAACATCATCATCGAGGATCCCACGAAGAGGTGGGTCGTTTCTCAAATATCTCGAAGCCACTTCTCATCCCTGTGGAAGGTGTATGTTCAACACCACGAACTGCATGAACGTGGGGCCTGGCGAAAGCTGCGAAATTGACTGCGCTTCGCCTTTTGTGCGAGTGGGAAACACCAGCACCGGCTCCTGTGCGGCTGGGAACAGCGTCCCGAGCCTTGGGTTGTCAGATAATGTCAATAGATTAAAACTGACTTTCTGCTCCTCTGCAATCGTACTCCCATTTCCAACTCAGGAATCGGATGCTGGTTTGGCAAGAGCCCACCTGCGTTTGCCCAGAACCAGTGCCGCAGCAGGGCTACGCGAAGGACCTGTGATGTGAGGTCATTGCGAAACGTCGTTATCAGAGTTTGCATTGTGTGTTGCTTTCGTACTCTCGCTGCTTGGAACGTGGGAGGTCAAGTCTAAGACCAAGCAAAGTTTGCTCTAGCTAGCCCTGCCATGAAACACAATAGGTTGAAGTACGGGAGATTCGAAGACAAGTGGTTCTTTACAGCATGATGGGTCAATGTTGGGTCTCAGTGCTATTGTTATTCTGACAGGCAAGATTTTGAGATCGGGAACCACCCAACACTGAACCGCAATTAAATCTTAACGAAACCCACATGAATCAGGACAGCAACGGCCATTGGCATTGCACCCAGGGCTTCGCCGGCATGCCGGAAATTGTCTGCCAGCCACTGCCAGGCGCCCTAAGACAGAATCTTGGGGCTTGTAATGCTTTTGTCATAGCGAAGATTATTCAAGTAGCTTTTCAGGGCTTTATCGGCGGTGTGGTCTTGCCCAATCGGAAGGGCTGGTTAGCGGCAAGTATGCTGCTTCTCATGCAGCCACTATGCACAAAAACGAGGGGAGGTGAGAACAGTTCTGCAGACCACATCAGTTTTTGTTGAGGACTATTTATGGCTATTTTCGGTTTGCATCGTTGGAGCTCTCTTTGTGCAGAGATGCCCATGTTACAAGCTCCAGCCCTGAAGGTTGTTCCGGAGTGCAGACCTTTCTACGCGGCTGCGACAAACTGCTTCCTTGCGCGATGCCTTCTGTAGACAACTGTAGGCCAGCCTCGCCGGTAAAGCGTAGGGCTTAGGGTTGGGATTTTATATTAAGGGATAATGGAGATGAAAATGGAAACTACAGGGATTTTGGGATTATATAGAGGTTATATTGGGATTTCGAACCAGGTATCTACAAGGACAGCATGACACCAGCCTGTATTGGGTCTAGCAGGGGATGAGTTGAGAGCATCCACAATGCCCGATTTAGCTAGCACGATTGCTCTACTGGTCGGCCACAGTCTTCTCTATTTCCTCTTGGATTCACCAATCTTTTGCAAACGGAAGCTCGCCACTTGCAAATTAGATTTGCTTCAGCTGAGGGTAAGCTTGGTAATTCATAGCAACTTGCATTGTAGGCAGGCTTTTCGGATCCAAGGATGTCCAATCTGCGCACTTTACGTCCTGCGTAGGTTCGACGTCTCCCGCTGTACCCAAGTGCCGCCTGGAGGAAGCTGTGAGGTGCCAGGCTGAGATTACTGGCCCTGCTGCCAAAGTCATTGGGGTTTATTAGGGTATATTATTGGGGGTTTATAGGGATAATGGAAAAGAAAATGGAAGCTACTATTTAGGGTTTAGGGTTTTTTGGGTATTATTATACCCCAATAATGGAGAATCAAATGGAAAAGAAAATGGAAAATGAAATGGAAACTAGGGAATATATAGGGGTAATATTAGCTTTTTTTTGGGGGGGGGAAGGGGATTCTAGTCGTAGCTTTCGAGGAGCTTGCAGTAATTACAGTAAGTGGCGTACACAAACTCTTCAGTGCATCCAAAACTGAATTGGACCGAGGGGGTGGATGGGGTGGGTGCTTTCGGCCACCGGTCTGTTGATGCGATTCACACGGGTGCTCATCCTCAAAAATGAACAGGCAGAGTTTGGGCCCTTCACCTCCAGAGGTCCCCTGCTCTCGAGGAGCATGAGAAAGACAATTGAATTCCAGACACCTCATCCAGATGTGGTCTTGAATAACTAGGCAAGTTGCAGCAGAGAGGAAATGTCCATGCAGGCCATTGCAAAGTTTAGCTTCTCCGCAAAAATACATTCATTTGAGCCTTACCCTGCTCAGCCGCTGCCCTTCACTCGTGTGCACCAGCTTTCCTAGCCCTATTGTCAAGTTGACGGCATGTTTTTACGGAACCCTGATTTTGAAACAGCATTGGCTTCTCCTGGAAAGCCTTGGGACTCTTGCTACATCTTGCTACGGCATGTGCTCAGATCCATTGCCAGCGGCCGCTGACTGGAAATCACACTGTGGCGGTATGCAAGGCAAGCGTGAATCAATCCTCCTGACAATTTTTGCATGACCTTCACTGAGTTCTGACTGCTTGCAGCTGGTTTTGTCCTGTGCATGTCTGGGAGTGCCAGGACCTCAACACGGATCCGTTGCAGGAGTTGGAGTATTTTCCGCTCACCTGCCTGCTTGAGTCGTGTCCTGACCCGTCTCCCTGGCCCATGGGTGCTCGCCCTAGTGCCTCGCAGCCAAAAGCGTGAGCTGCCGTCCACCATGAGTTGCCGAGGTTATAACAAGACCCCGGATGGCAGGTGGGCCTGCGCAAACGGCTATAATGGCACCGCTCGGAATCGGTGTGAGCTCAGTGCACCTTGGATTATCCTATCCGCTATCTAAGCACTCCCTGCATGTTCCTGCACGCAGTTACCATCTGAGGACACGTGGACTTCAGACTGCTCAGCAGCAGCAGTTGCTCGGCAAAATTCGTCATGCAGGCATCATGATGTGGTATCACGTTTCACACTGATATCGGAAGGCTCTGACATGTAGGGTGGCTGTGAGTGTGAAGCCAATGCTTTCAGCACGGGTCCCGCCTATTGGCAGCAGCTCCTCGAGACATCAAAACATATCAAAACGGTCAGCTAGCTATTCATTTCACTGCTGACTGCTGGATGTAGTCAGATGTCAGCTTGCAGTTTTGAACTGCTCATGCGCTGACCTTTTGGTCTCGAAGCATGATTTGAGGCTTTGACTGGTTGCAGACCAGTTGTGCCCTGCTTGGCTCCCACGGTTACTGGGACCGAGTTTTGTGCGCTCGCCGCTCGGCCAAGGATCTGTGAGCAGGAATGAGCAGGATGTATTTGTGCCTGGCTGGTGCAACACAGTTCTGGTGCTCTCACGGACCGTACCATAATTTTGAGCACTGCGTTGTTTGGAAGCAGTGCGCGTGCAAGTCAGACTCAGGATTTTTCAGCTTGCACTTCGGTGGAGCCTGGCGAGCAGTGTGAGGCTTGTCAAAGGATTTTCAGCCCGCATCCATACAGTGTGTACCAACAAGAAGGCTGCATGTAAACAAGAGTTGGCAGCCTCGGCCGCAGAGATAGATTTCGAAGTTGCTTCTGAATTCGCTTTTTCTAGATGTGGGTATAACATCCACCACTTGCTTTCTTTAGCCAAGTCGTGCGAGCAAACATTTTGTCGCCAGCCCCAAGTGCCATCCGCAATGCTGGTCCAAGCTTAAGAATTTCCTTACCGAGGCAGTTGCTTCTTGAAAGTGCAAACAACCAGTTCAGCAAGAATGCTTCAGAAAACCGTTAGTCTGCGAACCCAAGCCCAACCGAGTCCTCATTGCGACAGCAGACTCAGTCCTCAGCAAAGGGGGTTTCCTGAAGTTAGGGGAACTTTTTGGGGGTCCCCATAATAAAGATTATGATAAATTGAGATCTTTTTTGGGTCCCCTGTGGAAAGGCTAGGGCATCAGGTTCGGCGTGTCAGAAATCACGGCCGCATGCGTTCATGCGTTGCAGTCGCTCGATAGTGAAGCGGCGTTCCACACTGGCCCTTAGACCTGGAGGGAACCTAGGAAACACATGACTGGGTTCCTGTTAAAGGAACAGAAATTAAGTTAGCATAACATGGGAAGATTAAAACATAGGGTTTTCTTGTTACAGTAGTCCAATTTAAGTTCCTCAGCAGCACCCCAAATAATGGAGTATGGCCGCAAGGTAGAGGTCGAGTCTCAGCTCTGCTATGAACTTGGCTTTGTGCCACAGGTCCACTGCAAGAACCCCTACACTGGAGCCAAGACGGAGGACAGCTTCTTTCTGCTGAGCATGCGGCTGAAAGTGGGGGTCATTGCCCACATTTGTGCAAGGTGGTGCAGGGAGTTAGCAGAGGGTGTGTTTCCTTTAGCGAACACAGCAAATCGCGAACGTACTATTTGCATAGCGAGTAGTACCCTTGCAACCTGGTCACGTGGTGGCCATGACACTGGCTATCATGCGGTACCTCTGCAGCAGAACCCGCCACAGAAGACTCGTGCTGTCCCAAATGTCTTCAATTCTGCGTTGACACAGGCCTACTGCCCACATGGGAACACGAATCCCAACGGCTTAGTTCCGAGGTGAGAAGAAGCATGCTTTGAAGTTTTCCTTGTGTTGTAGTAGATATACCAACTAAAGTCTGCCGTGTATTGCATGTGGGATCAAGACTTGTTTTGTCAACTCTGAGATTTGGACGCGACCTCCCTGTGTCCTCGAGACCTGCGACGAGCCAGGGACCGTCCCTGCCGGGTTTCGACGCGGCCTGCCGGGAATCAGGAAGCTATGAAGCTGTTGGCCCTCCTTGAGCCGCCTTGGAACTACCAATTCTGAGGTGTCAATGACCAGTGGGAGTGCGCCCAGAGCTATACTGGCTTCGCCCAGAAGGTGGGGAAAAGCCAAGAGACGTGCAGGTCGGTGTGTATGGAAGTTCCATCAGGTCTGTGAGATGACTGACAGCTGCGAGGCTCTGTCAGGGTTTGAACAGGACTGTCACTGCAAGTGCTGTAAGTGGCCTCGAAGCCAAGCGACAGACCGTATTGCGAAGCATAGGCTGGTGTACTTGCTTTGCTTCTGCGCACAGGTTAGAGCGGTGCTTCAGGGCTGTGCCCAGCTGGTGCCTTGCCAGGGCGCGCAATCTGACTGCCGCCTGGGCCTTGGAAGTGCATTACCGAAAGTGCTTGGAGAGGGTCTTGTGGTTAAGTCGAGTGCCCTGCATCAGGCTACGATATGTACGGCTGTGTCAGTGTGCAGCCGGGCTCCACCTGCCAGGTCCGATGCCAGGCCAGGTCTTTCGAGGTACACTATCGTATGCGAACCACTCACGTATCAAGAAGGGCAATATTCATATTTCAAACTCTTCAGTAACAACAGAAACACGGAAACTGTGCCACTTGGAGGTTCCGTTTGCTGGAACTCAGACCACAGCGACGTGCCTGCAGGGCAACACGGCTGCGGATGGCCTGGTGCCTTCGCAGAACAATTTGGGGTTACATAGGGATAATGCAAAAAAAGACATGGAAACCACTACATCATAAGCTTGAAGGGAATAATAGAATGTGGGGGTAGAATATAGGGATTTTGTAGCGACTATATTAGCGGTAATGAGATTGCTCTTAGTTTAGTGTTCAGTGTGATGGATGATGATCAGAGTTTGTCATACTGTTAGAGCTGAAGTGGTTCTGTAAAGGCAGGCAACTAATACAGGGGCCTAAAGAACTGGCAATATTATGGGTCCATATCTTTTGTACAATTATAGTATATGGTACCTCAAATAGACCTCAAAATGATATTGCTAAGTATTTAGGCCCCTGTAGTATACTGGTCAAGGCCTTCAGCCCCAAAGCAGGAGTATTTGCATCGAGGTCCTCCAGAATTTCTGCTCGACCAGAGTTCAGTGAACTTCATTGTTCTTATCACATCCCCCCAACAAAAAATCAGCTTGTAGTATATTCTAGTATATTGTTCTAGTATATTGGGAATACTCAATATGAGGCGCTTGTGGATCAACCAGTTGCTCAGGTTTGGACACCGCCGGTCTGCACGATTGACACCTGCTCGGACCCACCTGATGGCAACGGCTATCAGAAGGTGGAAGGCGTGTGGGAGTGGCCCAGCTGATTGAAGATGTGGCTTTTTCCTGGCCTACTCTACACATGACCTGACACCTGGCCAATCCCGGCCATCAGTTCTCGTTCTTGCCAAGGTGTGCTGCAGGGTATTCTGGGGTGGTCACCAAGACCTGCCAGTGGATTGAGGCTCGGATTTGTCTTGAAGTGGAGCCTGCCCACAGCTTTGTTTGGTCTGGCAGGATGCATGCCAAGCCAGCCCAGTGCTTTCGGGCTGTGTGCGGGAATCGCCGTGCCGTCTCCCGGACCTTGGTGACAGGCCTTGCATGTCTGGAACTTGGACAAGGATACAAGTTTGTAAAAGTTACGGACTTGAAGTCGGCGTCTGCCACCGCAACCCAAGTAAATTGTTTTCGGTCCGAGCGAGTCGATTCTTCAGTGCTTGCGCGATGGCAAGCTGAGGTACGATACCTCAGAATGTGGAAGTGCCGCCTGCCCAGGTGTTCAGTCATGTTGGCTACAGGCCAAGATCAGGAAACTCTGGCAAGAAGCTCCAGAAAATGGTTGTCAAGCAGATAAAAAATCGGCAAAGACATAGTCGAGTCAGCTCCAATGTCCCAAGACCCGAAACGGTAGGACATTGAATTGCCCAGGTGGAGCCTGGAAACGTGTGCAGCATCCGTTGCCAGGCGATCCCTTCACATCTGGCGTCCTCTTGCTGTGAACACACTCAATAACAACACTGTTAACGACAGTAGGAGTGAGTAACCCATAGAATGGCAAATGGTACTGTACCATTCTTCAATTTTTTTCTTGTTCATCACTTTTTCTATCAGCAATGCTGTGCAGGCTCCGTACCTGGGCGAGCAGAGGGACTTCACCTGTGGCTTGGAGCAAATATGAGCCTAAAAGCCAGGGGACCTAACGTACTAGATTGCTAGGCATTGGGCAAGAAAGACACAGCTACTTCCTTACATGGAAGTTCCCTCAACACCTAAATCGGAAGATTCTTTTTAGAAAGCAGCCCAAGAGAGGCCGCAGCTGTGTGACACCCTGGTGGAGAGGTCCAGTGGCGAACACGGATCCCATGACTCCGCTGCAGGGTACGCTACCTGTCTGTGGTTGCCGGAGGCTTGGAGGTGCAGAGGCGAACTTCGTGGAATGTCAGTGTGGCGTCGTTTTTCTGAGGTGCCGAGGCAAACCCTATTCCGCCGGGCTACAACGTGTGTGAAGCCAAGTTGTGAGCAGACCAGAGGTCAACTTGCTGGAGCATTTTTTGGGGGCAATAATTTTAGGACTATGATACCTAGGGACAATGGAAAAGAAAATGGAAATTTCAATAATATATAGGGTTAAATATGATATATGGATAATGGAAAAGAAAATGGAAACTACAGGGATAATAAGGAAAGAACCCGGGAGGCAAGGTCAGTCTGTGACAGAAGCACCTAGGACTCGAGACCAGATCGCAAACACCATTACCTTCGCCTGTGCGACGGGATATGCAGGCAATGACTCTGTTACTACTATTCTCACTATTATTCTTACTACTACGATTGTTCCTACAATTCTCCCTATTATTATTATTGTCACTACTGCTGTTCTTATTGTTGTTACTTGTTCTTATCATTATTTTCATTCGTACTATTCGTGCAAATTTGTGAAGCTGGCCTTTTGGCAAGGTGTTGCGCAAAAGGTTTGCCTACCTGGCTTTTGGCCCAGACGTGAGAAAAAAAGGTCTCATTTGGAGCCCAGCTGTGATGATAACTTACTGGTGCGTAGTAGGGAATAAGGGAATATCATCCCCGTGTAATCCCTACATAACATATGCCCATATTCCCTGCTAACCCCCAGCAAGATAAAGTTGATAAGTTTACCAAGGAGATGGTCCAGAATGTACCGTGGACCCGCTCATGACAGGCAATTAGAGAGCGCTTTGCTTTGCACTGCATTGTGTCACAACGCGTCCTGTGCAGGTTGTGCCATTCCCTTGGTTTGCGAGGCGAGTGGCGAGTCAGGGATCACATGCGCAGAACAGCAGCAGCTTGCCGAATTCCAGGCCATGTTTGTCGACGATGGCTCCGGAGGGGCGCGGCTGCATGTCAATCTTTCCTAGAGTTGTTGCCTAGATTTGTGGTTGCATGGCATATCGCCACAGGGCCTGGCGCGTGGGCACATTCATTTTGGCCCAGCCTTGGTGGGCGCAGCCGTTGACGAGGCCACTTCCATGCTGGGTAAAAAGCTATCAGGCTGCAAGGCTGTGGTTGTCTTGCAGAACGGCTTCCCTGCTGAGCATGGTTCTAGCATGATTTTTTCAGGCTGTGCAGCCACAATCTGTGGAGGCAGATGTCTTGCGGTACGAGGTCTACTGGGCAGACAGCTGCGAAGATCGGGTAGGGCAACAGGCTCGTGGATGACTGATGCTGCCGTACAGGGCTACTCACGAAGTGAAATAGCATGTCCAGGGGTGCAAGGTTGCCTTTAGAAACACTCTGCAGGCCAGGCCTCAGGTGCTTTACGTTGTAGTCCTTGGCGGGCTGAATCGAAGGATGCAGAGCCCTGCATGGCATGGTTTGACAGGCGCTCGGGACATCGGTTTCTGGCCTGGGCGATGCCTGCTGTAGGCCTCACAGCATGATGCCCCCGGCATGGAAAGATTTTGGAGTCCTTAACATGTTTGCAGGAGTGATGTCTACAGCGTGAGGATAGATAGCGAGAAACCAAGCAGTTCCGCTCTCAGCTGGCAGCTTCAGCAGTCCGTGTAATGAGTGAGCTACCAAAAAATGTGTTTTCTTTTGTCCTGGAACACAAGATGAAAAACGGCTTTTCATGTTGCAAACATGGCCTAGCTGCGATGGGCTTCGTGGTCTACTCGGTCATGGACTCCGGCCTGGCTCCGGTCGGCGTCTTCGTCCCGATGAACTCTAGCCTTCTGGCCACACTCCCAGAGCTGCCTTGGACGGGAAAGCAAACCAGGAAGTAGAATTACTAGAGTAGCAGGAAGAGTGTGGGAGAATGAAACATATGAAGCACTATTCAAGCTATAGTAGTAGTAACATTGACAATATCTGTACCAGCAGTGACGCAAGTCATGAAGAACCCATGCAAAGATGTACATGGCAGAGACACGAGCGTTGATACCATTTCTAGAAATAGCATGTCTGGCAGCAAAAGTCAGTCATCAGAGACCTGGAGCGTGTTAGGATCGTGCGATCATCTCCAGCAATGCGGTGGTGACTTCTCCAGCAAGATTCCCGGGCAGATGCTGCGTGCCAGGAGCACTTGTTTCAGGGCAGCTCTTCATGGGAACCCCACTCGCTCCTGATATCGAACATCATTTGCAGTGTACTTATACGGATTGCATTTTCAGCCCTGAGCTGTTGGCAGTCTGAGGCTGTCCTCCTCCTCCTGGCTGCCTTTCTGGCGCTGTACGAGGCTCAGAAAAACCTCTGCTGGAAAGGACGTCCACCAGACTTCTCGGCCCAAGGCCCTGTAGCTTCCCTGCCAAGGTGTTAACGATTGTTTCATCTTCAGGAATGTGAGGCTGGGGCGCTCCAAGGTATGCAAGTCGTATGTTTATGTCTCAACAGATGCAACACCAAGCATACTACGGCCATGACCATTGCAATGCAACTCTGGCGCCATCAGCCAACAGCAATTCAACAGGAGGGACATCAAAACCTGCTTAGTGCCGTGATGCTCCCTCAGTACAAATTGGCTGCATGTGTCTCACCTGCACTTGATGTACTCCGCGAAGAGTAAGTGTAGGTATCTAATGGGTAAATTGGCTAATCATGCGGAGTGCAGCTTTGTGCTGCAACCACGACACGTCCCTAAGGGACTTGCCAAGGCATCTTTACTTCTTTTTCGGGTCAAATAGGGTATGCACTTCAGGAAATGTTGAACGGTGACGGTCAGTCTTGTTAGCCTTTCGTAATGTTGCTCACAATTTTCAGTGTGGAGTCTGCGTGAAACAGCGCACGTTGTCAGGCATGTTGTGTCATGCCATGCGGGATGAGCAGAGCGGAAGCAGGCCATGAGAAGCAGGGGCTTTGAGCTTGGTACGACAGGATGATGTATCAAAGGAGCAGTGCTTTTAGCCCGAGCCGTGCTTGCGCACGCGGAAGCTCCATCTGTGAGTTTCCAGGAATTCGAAGACCAAAGGTCTACCTACAAAGTCTCAGAGACTCTTCTTATGGCCACTCGCTAGTTCGGCACGTGCACGGTGAGTGTACTACGGCGAAAAAATGATGCCTCCCGCCTAATGGACTTCTTGCAAGTGTCCACGGCACTGGACCTGTTTTTGTTCCATGCTTCGTCTGCGGAAGTTTTTTCCAAATTCTGCCTTTTTGAATTTGCTGCCAACTGCATTTTAGCATGCTCCAGCGCTAGATCAGGAGCTCCCTGTCAGGAATCCTTTTGTTTGCAGTATTCACAGACGTCAACATGGCTTAGAATGAAACATTGCCCACCACCCCACTACGCGGTTGGACTCAGGAAAGAGTCAAAAGGAACAGCCCCGACGATTATCGGGGCCTGTTTTCTTGCGCGGGGATGGCTTTGCGTGAGTTTTTTGGGAGCCAGGTGAACCAGGATTACCAAGTCGTACTCTTAGACATGGTAATTTGGACTCTTTGTGTGTATGGCGTATGGGATCCTACTTGTACTTGACCTCAGCCCCAAGGTCAGGAACCTGAGGCCAGCCGGTTTCGCATCCCTGGAGGAGGGCACCAGCAAAGCGGATCCTTCACCCAAGATTGTAGGTTAATGTTGGGGTCCATCTTAGGATTTATATTGGGGTTGTATAGAGTTAACATCCACAACAGCAGCTCAAGATGTTCTTAAAAAAGAAGAAGAAGATGAAAGTCAGCCGGGCGAAGAAGGACAAGAAGGGCAGGCCTCGCGAGTTCTGAGCTGGTAAGGGGCAGGCTTCTTGACACTATTGCGGAGACACGTGCTACGCTCGTATGTTTTGCAGAAGGGCGATCTTCAAAGGTCTACTGTGTTTCAAACACATGCTGCAAATGTTGGCCCCTCCCTGTGCAGCTTTGGCCGTTCACGGCAAGTTGCTCCTCGCAGCAAGTTCTGTCAAGGCTGCCAGGCACATGAAATCAATAGATGTAAGGCATAGATGCTCCAGCGATGGCAGGTGCACAGCTCCGTGTGCTGTACAGTCTCATTCCGAGCAGCCATGCGCAGACAAAGATCACATGAGAACCAGGAACCACCTCGTTAGAAGATGTTGTAGGTGTGCATGCAGGCTGAGGAGGTTTAATGTAAACAGAGTCAGTGGAAGAAGCGTATAAGTAATATACAGCTTGTTATTGACGCGATGTTCAAAAACCGCGGCCGGCCAAAGGGCTGGGTCCTCATTCCCGTGATCGTGATTGGTGCATACAGTCTGGCTGCGTGAGATATGGTCGTTTACATGATGCTTACCAACAAGACTTGGCAAATTGAATCCTGATTGCAGGGACCCGGCGAAAAGTAGAGGATGACGACGATGAGGTCCGACTGCTACCAGCCTGAAAATGCGCTGAGTGAAAGTAACTGTGTTTCCGATCATGGTATGAGCCAGAAGAATTATGACACTGTGATATATCTGTGATAGACCCTGTCTTCGTCTTCAGTGGGAGCACCCGCCAGGAGGAAAGCGAAACTGCAGAGCAGCAGAAACTGCAGGAGGCAGACTGCAGATGTCGCAAGTATGTCGGTCAAAAGCTTGGCGTCAGCCCAGCGTGCTGGACTAAGGTTCGCCTTGTGCAGAAAGAGCAATGGGGCAAGCCACGTGGGGTACTTCTGGCATGCTTCCGCTGCATAGACGGCACGCGAGCCAAAACTTTCCTGCGAGCACGCAGTACAGGTTGTTCCGGTTCCAGAGATGATGAAACAGCCAGAGGAAGAGGAGGAAGAGGCTTCGGTCTTAGTTGTGTGGGAGGGGGCAGCAACAACAGCAGTCATCCGCTGCATTCTGATTCATGCCAAGGAGGACAAGGAGCAGTGGGGCCTCTTGGAGAAATCGTTCTCCGGAACAGCTGGTCAGAAAGGTCCTGACCACCATCTTGAGGCAGCCATGCTGCGGTGGACAATGGAGTCTAGGACGATGAACAGTTCCCCACAAAAACTAGCGCATGAAGTTCTGTACCCTGAGGGGTGAACCACTCGAAATCCCAGGGTGCTTGGACAGTCCGCAGTATTTCGGCAGGCCTACCTCAACGAGCGGCTCTACAACAAAAGCAAGGCCCGTTCTGAGTGCGCTTCAGTCTTGTAACTTTTTGTCATCACGCACATCCCGAACCTGCAGGAAGACGAGCCCGTAAAGGAGCGCACTCGCGAGGAGCGGCTCTATGAGGTTCCGGCACAACTCCAGGCCCTGTTGGTGGGGAGGTAGTGTGTGGGTGTGGTGGCCTGTAATCTCTTATGTGGGTTTTTGGATCTGTCTATTCTGGGGCTCATGGTTGAGGTTTTCAGACCTCCTTAAGAGTGCGGGGCTTGGGGTGTGGAAGTTGACTTTTGTAGATCTATATCTTCCGGGGAGACGACATTTTGGGGGATTGTCAGCAGATGCCCGGATTGTGCAGTGTGCTGTGATTGGTGAACGGCTTGCAGAAGCGCCACTTTGATTTTGCGATAGAATTGCCTTTGGGAACAGATTGATAACTCCAATGTTGATATATTGGGATAATGGAAAAGAAAATGGAAACTACTATAATATATTATGTAGGGGTTATATAGGGGTAATATTCCTATAGTAGTTTCCAATGTTCCCTAAACCCTAAACCCTAAACCCTAAATAGTAGTAACTCCCATGTTCCTTGGATTTCTGGGTTTCTGATGGGCTGCTCGTCTGCCGCAGGTCCCGGATGCCTCCGAAGGGCAGGCCGACAAGCATCTTGTCTTCAGTAGTCTATATATTGGGTCTATATATTGGGTTTAGGGTTTAGGGTTTAGGGTGTGTCCATCGTGTTCGCTCGCTCGGGTGTTGATCTCCCCGAGCCGCTCGCTCCAGCTCAGCTACATGACTCCCACCCTAGACTTTCCCGCGTTTGGGTAGGGCCCACTTTCGGGCCCCGGCCCCGATCGGCATCTTCTGTGCTGTAGGGCCCCTGTAACTTTCCCTTACGGAAAGTTCTTACTGGTCCTCTCGCAGAGAAGAACGACAAAGAGGCTTACGGGAAGGCTGCGCCCTTACGGGAAGGCCCCTTACGGGGAGGCTTCTTACGAGAGACAGCTTTAATTACAGGAAAGCTTACGGGAAGCTACGTGGAGGGACTTTACCAGAATTGGGCGGGAATTTCCGCTTGTGTGCCGTAGACCAAAAAAGGTCGTTT